TGTCTGGCGGGCCGCACGTTTGAGACCCCTGGTCTAGAGAAAAGGTCCCTGAAGGAAGACATAACAGACGTATAAAATTATGCTGAGGATGGATAAAGTGGATAGAGAGAAGCTTTTTTACCAGAACCAGGGGACATTCACTCAAATTGAGTGTTGGGAGAGTGAGAGCAGACAAAAGAAAATATTTCTTTACCCAGCGTGTAGTTAGTCTGTGGAACTCCTTGCCACAGGATGTGGTGATGGCATCTGGCCTAGATGCCTTTAAAAGGGAATTGGACAGATTTCTGGAGGAAAAGTCCATCACAGGTTACAAGCCACAATGGGAATGGCTTAAAACTTCAAAATGCTAGATGCAGGGGAGTGGTATCAGGAGACAGGTAGCTAGTTGCCTCGTATACTCCCAGAGGCCAATGTGAGGTACAGAAAGCTTGACTAGATGGGCCTTTGGCCTGCTCCAGCAGGCATTATGTTCACCAACAACATAGTTACAGTGGTGCCCTGCACCACGACGATAATCCATTCCCCTGAAATAGCTGTTAAGCGAAAACATCGTCCAGCAAAAACAGTTTCCCCATTGGAATGCATTGAAACCCATTTAATGCGTTCCAATGGGGAAATTACCTCGTCGTCCAGCGAAGATCGCCCATAGGAGAAGCCATTTTGCGAGCACCGATCAGCTGTTAAAATGGCTGCCCTGTGAAGCATGGGTCTGGAAAACACAGGGCAGCCATTTTGCGGAGCCGGAAAACATCATCGTCTTGCAAACAAACTGTTCACGAAGCACAGACCTAATCATCATCAAACGAAAATCCACCATAGGAGAAATTGTTTTGCGATCGCTATAGCGATCACAAAGTCACCGTCCTGCAGATTTGTCATACAGGGGGGTCATCGTCTAGTGAGGTACCACTGTATATGCTTTTCCAAGTTCACTCAGAATCAAGATGGACTCCAATGCATCAAAAGGGCAGCCATTTCCTTTTGCTAGATCTGTTACCTTTCTCCAACTTAAAAACTGTATACTGTACTGTTTACATTTCCTGTGCCACCCAAAGAGATAATGAGAGAAAAGAGAGAGATGGTCCACCTCCCCATTCCACTGAGTGGGAGAGTATAGGTGAATGAGTGACTGATCCTTCTGCTGTGCAACAAAGAGAGCAGGCAGAAGTACCTGCTACATTCTTTTTCTTTCAAACTTCTGTATCAGGACTTGTTCTCCCCTGTCCTTTTCCAGCTTCCACTGGAGGGATGAGAAAGAGAGAAGGTTGCTGTTTACTATTTACTTAATAGCAACTTCTCATGACCCAACCAAGTTCATTTCCTTCAGAAAGAAACTTCCAAGCATTAAGCATCACTTGAAAAAGAAATGTGTTCAGTACCAAGTAGAGTTATGATTAAACACAAATTTGCTGAAGAACACATTTCTCTCTTCTCAAACAGCTGAGAGCAGGATCAGCAGTACATCATCCCAACATATCAACAGTCACATGTGTGGTCAACACAGAACTGAGACAAACCCATTTAGGCTGTTTTCTAGCTCAGGCTTCTGTAACTTTCAAGGCTTGGTAGGTGACCATCCAGATAAAACACCATATACAGTACAGTACTTAACAAATCACTGACAAACTGTGTATAATTCTCCTGGAAAAAGTACTCAGCTAACCTGATGCTGGGGCCAAATAGGCTCATTAAATCGTCAGATTGCCATTGCTTTCTCAATGTGGCGCTTGACAGCCAAACTAGGGAGAGCCCCACCACTGGCCGTAATTAAGGTTTTTAAGGCCGCTAGTCTGTAGGAACCGCGGCGATCTCGGTATGCAATGGGGAAGAGGCAGTTCACAGATACGGGAGGAAAATAATTTCAGCAGTTCAGCATTGCCTCGGATACTTACAAATTTGGGTTTTTTGCTGCTGGCTCCGTCGCCTGGCGGTGGCTGTTCCCACCCAAGGCCGCTTTCTCTCGCCACAGGGTTCCTACGAAGCGAGTTATGCTCTCTGGCCTTCCCTCGGCCGGGAAGCGGTGGCCCCCTTTCCATGACGGCTGAGCAGGGTCTCCCTCCAAAGACGTGGCAATTAGACGCGAGCCGGTCGTGGCTCTAATCTGGGCGTCAGTTAATTACTCACTCGCTTCGCTACAGTCAACAAAAGGCAGTTGATATTTCACTGCCGCGGTGCCCCTCACGCTTCTGGCCCTGGCATGTCAGGCACTCCCTAAAAACTGCCGCAATCGCTAGGAAAAAAAATACGCATATTTAAAATCGTCTCCGCTCACGAAACCAAATCATCCCGCCACAGTCATCCCGCCTCCTCTTCCGCCTACGTCAAGCGAATCCGAATCCGAAGAACCCTCAGTGGTGCTTTCTTATTAGACGAACTATCTATCAATCGGAGCGAGCTTATTTCTCATAGGTGAAAGCGTTCAGCTGTGGCTTCAACGCCTTTCGGGAAACGTTCAACGCTCGGACTCCCGGCCGCGGTGCCGCCGGGGAGCGGCGCAGTTTGTTCAGAAGCCAGGGTGTAACGCGGAAGCCTTGTTCGTGTCTGTGTCCGGTCGGAAAAATATTTCCAAGTGTTGCTGTTGTCTTTCTGAGGACAAAAACAGCAAAGACAAAACAAAACTGAAGATCGTCGTGTGTGGCTAAATTGTGCAAAATTTTAAAAAAGTATTTTTGGTCGTGCATTTTATGTTGTGAAATCTTAGGAATAGAATGATATAAACGATGACTAATAACAGATAAGACGGAGGTAGAGACTGAGGAGACAATTTGAGTATCCCCTGAAATACCCTACGCATCGCTGGCTCCGAAATTTCAGCTCCTGGATAAGTCAACTTTGGGAGCAAGGAAGAGCAATACAGTGGTAACAGGTAGTGGAGTTCTGTAAAGGAGACAGCCACTATAATCATTTACATTTGGGAAACAGGATAAAAAGACGGTGAAGATTATTTCAGTTACAATCACTGTATTTTGCAATTCTCAGTAGCCCCAGGGGGCACACTAGGATGGCCATATGTGGTCCTTTAGGGAGGACAGTCCTCCATTTAAAGAACTCTCCTCTGTTTTGGTGCCGCATAATTGGCCACCCTGACCCGTGTGAATTTACCTGGCTAAGCAGGGAAAGTAGATGCTTTGATTGGTAAATGTATCTAAAAAGCCCTCTCTCATTTTTTAAGTGAAATGTTCTGAGTAGGAGTCATTTTGTATAAAAGATTCAAGCCAGGCACACTGAGGCATGGCAGTAAGGATATATATGGCATGGCATGTCAATTCTGTATGAACTTTAGATGTGAGGTCAGTTCCAGGAGAAGATATTCTGAAAGCACCACGCTTCTGAAACAACTGATGCCTAGCTAGATATTTGAACAAAACTGCAGTCACCTCATTTATTTCCATTCTATTTGTATTTTCGGTAAGCTACAGAAAAGGCACAGGGTATTTCAGAGAGGGATTGGCTAGTAGACAGCGGAATTGAAGGAGACTGTATCAGGCTAAATAGGGTCACTTAAGGTCACTTTGAGGTTTGATATGCAATTTGGTGGAATCCTTGCAAGCGCAAGCAGTGATTTTGGGTCAAGAAACCACACTTAACCTCAAGCAAAAGTATTTGACCCACTTCCCCTTATTTATTAATTTTATTTTATTGGATTTCTTTAAAGGGAAGGAAGAAAGAAAAGAATGAAAGGCTCTGCCTCCTGTTTGCTCTGTCTAATTTTTAAATTTTTTTCCTAAAATGTGTAATTAAAAAAACTTTACTTTTTCTCTCCCCTTTCACAGAAGATGAAGCTTTCAGTTTCTCAATATTGTTAAGTGGCTTGGATCTGGAACCATTTTTATTTGTTTGTTTGTTTGTTTATTTATTTTATTTAACTTATATGCTGCCCACACTACCCGAAGGTCTCTGGGTGGCTTACAGCATTTAAAATACAATAAAAGGGCAAAATAATTAAAATGCAATTAAAATATATATTCTAAAAATTGCCATCAGACCTACAGCTGATATTATTTCAGTTAAAAGCCATTTGGAACAGGAAGGTTTTGAGCTGGCGCCGAAATGTCATCAGTGTC